AAGACAGGGTACTATCAGGACAGGGGTAACTCAGTGACCGACAGGCAGGAGGTGGCCTCGACCCGGATCAGCCAACGCGTGCACGCTTGAGGCACGCAGCTCGGTGGCGAGAAGCTGGGCGTTTCAGCCGCCAGGGCCTGAGCCCCGAGCGGCCCCGTGTGAAACGATGTCCCTACCCCATAACGTCCCCTTCCTGTCAGATGAAAAGCTGAAGTGTGGGAAATGGAAACGTGAAATTCTAAACAAGTATCTGCAGAAGCTGGATGTTTCCAGCAAGACACAAAGAGCTCTCGAGGGAAGATAGAGAGAGGGGTCTGACTGCATCAGAATTCCAGACTGCTGTGCGGGAAAGTCACCTCCGACAGAGCGGGAGAACCTGCCACAGGCCGGAAGACAGACGTTCGCGACACTTGTATCCAAAGCAGTGGTAACAACGTGTCACAAATGTGTGGCTGCCGTGGAGACGGCGGGCGGGAGGAAGGCGGGGGCTCCCGGGGCTGGGGGACTTGGAGAGCGTCTCAGCCTCTGTGGGACACAGCGGCAGGTGTCCCCATGAGGCAGGGACCCCGCACGGAGGAAGACTGGGAGAATCCCCGCACGGAACAGAATGTTCTTTACTCCCTGCAGAAATCCCTTAAGCTCCTTTCCGAGCTGTGTTTGCTTTGTTTTGTTTTGTTTTTGCCACGAGTTATTGTGTGTCATTTCCACCGAGGACGAGGACGAGGACGGGCCAGGCGACGGTCTGTCGCATTTCCTGCTGTAGGCTCACCGGGCTGCGTGTCTGGCGAATGCGCCTTTTGGAATTCCTGCCCTGGCCGCGGCGCACGTGCTGGGTGGGCAGCCGGGGCCGTGACATTTTCAGGACAAGGCACATGCGGAGACTAGAGGACCGTGGCCCCTTCCGTGGCTGAGGCCCGAAGAGGGGACGTGGGCTGGGAAGAATGGGGTCCAGACCGCACTGCGGCCACCAGCTCCCCTTCAACCTGTGCCCAGGTCGCCGACGCCTGCATTTCAGACTCTGGGCCTCTGACTGTGAGAGAACACGTTTCTGTAGTTTTATGTCCGCAGTGCGTGGTCATTGTGTCAGCAGCCTCAGGAAACCAATCCAGACCGACAGCTGTGTCCAGTCCTCCAGGACTCGGGGGCCAGGGGAGGCCGGCCCCAGCAGTACAGGAGGCGCCGAGGGGGCGGCGTGCGTGCCACCCCTCCCGGCGGCACTGGGCCTGCTCCCTGCGGCCTCAGGAGTGCGGTGCTGGCCGCGGGAATGAGTCTGGCTCATTTTGCATACTGCCACCTTCCTATCTAACGGATGCTTGCTTATGGCATTAGATGTTGGAGCGGAGCGCCCTCACCAGGGCGGGCGCGAGGGGCCCCTGGTGCTGGTCGCCTCCTGTCCCTTGACCTGGCGGGCCACCCCTGCATCTTACACGCCCCTCGTCAAACAGGGGCTCCGGGCCCTGGCTCCACGGTGGCCATGGGCAGGCCCTGCCCTCCTCCGAGCCTCAGTTTACCAAGCAGGAAGATTGTGGAGAAGGCTGGACGTCTGAAATCGAGGTGCGTCCCGTCACGGCGGGGACTCACAGCGGAGTGTGTGTTTGTTACGGACTCCCACGGGCGCCCCCAAACTCTGACACCCTCCAGCTTGAAGCCCAGCCTCCTCCACTCCCATGGGGCTCTCTCAGCACGAGGAGCCAGCGACACGTAGGCCAGTGTCCCTCGTGCAGACTCTCAACCTCCTGCGGCCACAGACCTAGGGAGAGCCCGCTGCTCTAACTCTGGGTCGATGGGGACACCTGCCAGCGTGGGACGGGGCAAGTCCCCCCCCACTGGAGCCTGGGGTTTCTCATCTATAAAATCAGAGGCTGCACCGTTTTCCATGTCCCGATAGGATTCTGACCAATGCACAGCCCTAGGGAAAAAAAAGATCGTTATCCTTAGTTGGCAAATCAAACATAATTTCTACTACGTGTATATTTCTGTATCTTCCAAATTTTGTGAAATAAGCATATATTTAATATATATTATAATCGGAAAATAGTAAATTCTGCAAAAAATTATTTGATAAAATGAGAAAATCCTCATGAATCATGTTTTTTGAAATGAAGATCCTGCAAGGTCTGTCAGTACGATTTTAACCAAGCAGTACACACTCACACTCACACGCACACGCACCCCAAGACTCAGACCAGAGGACAGTAACCCAGACGTCGGCAGGGACCCGCCCCGCCTGTTGGGACTGGGGTTCGTGTTCACTCCCCGGGGTGCTGAAACAAATTACTACAAACTGGGCGACTTAAAACAACAGAAATTTATTGTCTCCAAGTCCTGGAGGCCAGAGGTCTGACTCCGAGATGTCAGCAGGGCTGGGCTCCCTTGGGAGGCTCCGGGGGAGGGTCCTTTTTGTCTCTTCCAGCCTCTGGTGGCCCCAGGCCTTCCTGGGCTTGTGGCCACATCACTGCTCTCTCCCCCTCCGCCTTCACGTGGCCTCCTCCCTGTGTGTCTGTGTGTCTGTTATAAGGACACTCGTCATTAGACTCAGGGTCCTCCCAGACAATTCGGCACGGCCACCTGTCGAGATCCTTAACTTGGTCATATCTGCAAAGACCGTTTTTCAAAATGAGGCCACATTCACAGGATTCTGGGCATTAGGATGTGGACACGGACTTTTTAGGGCCACCATTTAACCTCCTAGGGGGGAGACGACTTTTAAAAAAGGATTTTTTTGCATACTCTTTGCTACTTTCTAAATTATCCACAACAAAATTTTGTTGTTAGGTACAATCAGTAACAATAATAATAAACAAGCTATATAAAAATAAGTTATTTTCCCATCTTGAGAGACAGAAACGGAAAAAGAGAGGCAGTTGACAAGGGGTGACAGTGTGGGACACAGTCCCTTCCTGGATGTGCAAAGTCCCTGTCACTCGCCCTCCCTCCCCGCCCACTACAGAGGGCAGGATGCTGCCTGAGGAGCAGCTGTGTCAGCATGTCAGGTGACATCATCACACAGGCATTTCCTGAGCAAGCCGGGGGGTCCTGTGGCCTGAGACGATGGGGACAGGGACCGAGTGACGTGGGACCTTGGGGAGCAGCGCACGGAAGGTCATGGCCGCTGTTCCCGAGCACGTCTGGGCAGCACTGTGCAGGCCACCTCGTCGGTCAGTGTTGTCGCCCCACATTACAGGTGAGGAGATGGCACCTCAGACAGTTGGGTCATCTGCTCGGTACTCACGGCTGGTGAGCGGCAGAGCTGTGTCTTGGACGGGGCGTGTGGGCTCAAGGACACAACGCAGACTTCAGCTGAATGTCAACCAGAGAACACGTCTCTTCACTTTTCCTGGGTGCATGCAGTGGTGCTCAATAAATGTTCCCGGACCCTGTCTCCTCGAGGGCAGGGCTCAGGTCTAATTCACTCCAGGGTCACCAGCGTCCAACTCTGAAGAGACAGGACCCCTGGGGGCTGTGATGGCAGGGGCAGGGCGGGGAGGGGGCCGCGCTCTGAGCCCCGCCCCCATGCCCCCCGCCTC